TGAACAGGTTTTGATTTTTGTACTAAAGGGATCTTATGACGCTTTGCAAATTCTTTGTCTAAAAAACAAGCAGATCCTCCTGAGTCTAGTAGTGCTAAGGTTCTCAGTTTTTGAGGGCTGATAAACAGAGGGATTGTAAAACAAAGGGCAGGTTGGGCAGAAAGAAAGGAACCTGATTGTTGTTGGGATATTTCATTGTCCAGCCGCACGGTTCCTACTGTGGCTGGGCATCCTCGTTTTCCTGAACAAATACTCCCCTAGTCTTGACTATGCCTCGATTTTGCTTTTTGGGGTAGTTTCCGACTTTGTGGCCTTCTCCACCGCAATACAAGCATAAATTTTCCTCCATACGTCGCTTTTTTTCTTCTATAGTAAGAGATTTGATACATACCGCATCAATTTGCATGTCTTCCACCTCTGAATGCGAATTTACACTGCTTGCCGACATAGTTGGAGCATGGCGAATTGTATGTTGTCTTGAGCGTTGGTCTTGGCGACGTTGGAATAGGCGATTATCGTACTTCACGGCTAGGCTAATGGCTTCATTGAACGTTCGTGGATCAGGAAGAGTTAACAGCAAATCCTTCACATCATCTCTTAAACCCCAATAGAATTGACTCATCAACGCTTCTTCATCCCAATTGATGTCGCATATTAATTGCCTGAAATCCGAAGCATAGACTGATGTAGAACGCATCCCCTGTCGTAGCGACCGGATCTTTGTTGTAGCCCATCGAACCTTATCGTGTTCACCAAATGCTTCCGCAAATGCTTCCAAAAAGGTTTCGAAGTTGTTTAATATGGATGATCGTTTCTCAAACAAAGGAGCAAACCATAATAGAGCTTGACCCTTAAGTAAGGTTCCAACAAGCCCAACACGTGACTCCTCCGTTGGATATCGTTCGGGCTGTAAAACTGTTATCAACCTGATTTGATTGACGAATCCTCGAAACTTGGAATGTGTTCCATCAAACTTATCTGGAAGGCTAACTCGAGGCTCCTTATATTGTAGAACTAGTGGTTCTTGTCGAACCTGAGGTAAAGTTGTTTCTCCAAGTGTCGAAATTTGAGGCTGGTGTAGTTTAGATTGTGCTATCTCAGATACTCCATCATTATGAAGCCTTGCCACCACTCCTTCAATCTCTGCAGTTCTTTGTGATAACGTAGCAAGGGCATTCATAATAGCATCTAACTTAGACTCCGAACTTTTTGTCATACTAATGTCTTGACCTCCGGCCATTCTAAAAGAAGGACAAAAATGACCCTATAAGAGGCAATATTGGTTTATAGGAGGGTAATCCACAACCTATAAAACGCCTTAAGAATTTCAAGAAGAGGGGTAATCCACTCTCTCTAAGAAGAATAAGACTCCAATATTGTAACAGAAGAAGTATCAGTTTAGAGGAGGGTAATCCGCAACCTCTAAAAAATGCTAGTATACCTTTAAGTAGAGGGGTAATCCACACTCTACTAAGAAAGAACTAGCTCTGATATCTCAAGTTAGTGTAGTCTCGACAAACTGTCATGGACACAAAATACAGACTTGAAATCTAACAAGAAGTTCAAGAAGAAGTGGCAGAACTAGATTAAACAGATGAGTACAAGAACAACACTAGAAAGGTGAGCTAGAACTCCAAGAGATGTGTTGTCGAGACTGAAGAACTCTTCAGCCTCGATCCCTATATATACTCCTACTTAGGAAGCTTCTCGAGCTACTTCTATTAACTAGGAAGCTTCTAGAAGGTTCCAGAGGCTTCCTTTCTAGAAGGTTCTATAAACTTCTCGAGCTACTTTTATTAACTAGGAAGCTTCTAGAAAGTTCCAGGGGATTCCTTTCTACAAGCTTCTAGAAACTTCTCTTCTAGAAGGTTCCAGAGACTTCCTTTCTAGAAGCTTCTAGAAACTTCTCTCTAAAAGGTTCCAGAGGCTTCTCTTCTAGAAAGTTCCAGAGGCTTGTTTTCTAGAAGGTTCTAGAAACCTCTCTCTAGAAAGTTCTAAGGAATATGTCCCTAACAGTTAGCTTGATCTTCAAGCTAATAACATGTGTGACACATGGCCAACTTGTTGACCACGTTTCTAATCCAAAAAGTCAATTAAAGACACCTATGAAGTCAAAGCAGCGTCTAGGAAATTTCTAGGAAGCTTTTATATTAAATATTATAGAATTAACTTACTTTTACCTACTTTTACTTACTTCTACCTATTTCTATATGTAATTATTAGCTTACATGATTATGGCCGTGACAATATCCACTATCAACTAAAAGAAATATTATAGAAGTGTATAAAAGCTTCTTCCAATTCTATCACTCCTAAGCAATATTAAAAGTTCCATTATGGCATGCCCAACCGTATCTAAGTTATTTTAGTTTCTTAGAGAGGATGGACAAATTATTAATCTCCATGTAGATCTACGTTACAAAACGAAGTCAGTAGATCTATGTTAATATTTATTATTTTACTAATTGTCAGTAGATTAATAATCTCAAGCTGAAATCTAGGATTTTTAATATTTATTATTTTACTAATTGACTCAATTTTGAGAGTCAATGTGTATATATATATATATATATATATAACTAGTAAAAAGATGTATAGTTGGACACCATGATCTTTGATACATCCATCCATTCCTTTATTTATTTATACTCCCTTAGTCCCATGTTCTTTGGTTTTATGGATTTTTTGTTTTTTGATTCTTCTATTTTTTCATTCCCATGTTTGGCCAATCAAAAGCATTTCTTATTTCTTTGTATTTAAAATAAATATGTATATAAATATATAATATCACGATTAAAACATAATGAGTCAAAGAAACTTTTGATTGACCAAACATGAAAATAATGGAATCTAGAAATTAGGAAACTAGAGAACCAAGGATTTAATGAACATCAAATCTAGGAAACATGAAAATGATGGAACGTGGATACACAAAGAAATGGATGGATGTGCCAAAGATTGTGATATCCAACATCACAAGTTCCCACTAGTTTTTTATAAGTTATAAAAGTTATATTTGTTGGTACATGTGTGTGTGTGTATACATATATATATATATATATATAACTTGAAGTTTTAAGAATCTATTATACTTATTATATATATATATATATATATATATATTCTCTTAACCTCTGTAATCTCAATCCTAGCTGAATCTTCAATGACATAGGACTGAAATCTACCTCAAAAGTTTCTCTTTACCAATAGGCCAGTAGATAAAGCTTACATCCTGTAAAAAGTTTTTGTTTCTGTTTTTTGAAATCATCAGAAAATATCACAACAGCATGACTCTCAGAACCATTCTCTTTGTTGAACTCATAATATATATATATATATATATATACACACACACATAAATACATCCAAAGAGATATATATATATATATATATATATATATTCTTCACTCAAGAACCAATACTTACAAATTTCCAATAAAAGAACAAAAAAATTGAATGTTGTTTACATCAGAAAGAATTTCAGCATTATTATATTATTACTGATTACTGTGAGAAGAATCGACTGATGAATATTTCCTACAAAGGATTTAAAACTTGGGCCTTAAAATTTATTGAACTTTGTAGAATTTATACTAAGCTTCCTAGAAGTTAGGCCAAAATAGAAGTGGAGATTATTTAGTTATACTTCTTAAAATTTTGAGTGAGTTAACTTAAATGTATTTGTAATATTTAAAAAGGTTAATTTTTATACTAATTATAAAAGAATACCAAACATAAAATTTATCCCATTTTAGAGTTTTTTTTTTTTTTTTTTTTTTTTTTTTTTTATCTCATTGGATGCAATAGATCACCTAACACTTATCTAATTATTAGATTAAAAAGTGTTAATTTTACTTTCAATACTTCCTTGAATTGAATAAAAATAAAAAATTACTAGTGGCAAGAAATGCATTGTATTTACATACATAGATATACATATATATATATATATATATATAGACATGTACTAATTTAATATATCTAAAACAACCTTGTCTCTATTGATAAATAAATACTTACCTTTTAAGAATTATATATCATATTACTTTCATTTCTTTGATTACATCCTCATTTGAGTCTTGAAACAATTCAAAAATTTAATGCTTTTATAAATCTAGGTCTTACAAGTATTCATGCATTTTTTTTATTCTTATATATATATATATATATATATATATATAATTTTACAAAAAATATGTTTCTAAATTTTATTTCCATGATTATTTCACCAATGGAAAAATACTATATATTATAACTTAATACATATTAATTATATTCAAAAAATTTCTATATGTATTGTATTTACTTTTACCATTTTAATTAATGTAATTTAATTTGACCATTTCCATTTATATTCTTTTGCTGTAAAAAACGTATTTTTGACCTGTAATGATATTTTAAGATTCATTCAAGTATAATTTCATACTGTTTTAAGGTCTTAGAGTACATTGAAATCTTATTAATGTGGATAATTTCTATTGATTTTTGTGAATATTGTGAATATGGTTTTGAAATTATGTTTTGATATAATGTGAATAATGTTTTGAAATATTTGAGTTATTAATACAGTATTCTACTATCTATAAATATGAACATCTTAATTTATGAAGTATTAGCTTTAAAAATTTTAGATTACATTTTTTAGTTGACAATCTTAAATTCAAATTAACTTGACTTATGTATCAAATCTTACTTGAAGTCTCACTAACTTAAAAGTAAGATTTTGACCAATTAATTAATTATTATTATTATTTTTACATATATATACACACACACATATACACAAGCACACACATATGAAATCACACCGACACGTAGAAAAACGAACAGATATGCAGCCCAAAGCAACGCTGCAATGGGACTCAAGCTTCGACAGACTGATAGACAAATGATATATTCACATATGGATGAATGAAATAAGGAAAACATTCATCCTTCCGCTCGCCCAGCTTGCCCGGCGTGCTGCGAGCTGGAGGACCAGCTCGCATGCTATGCTCCACACAAGCATGAGAGGCGGCAAACATGGGCTCACTTCTGCTTTGTTTTGTGGTTTAGCCGTCTGTTTTATGCGTCGCTACAATTGGGTTGTTGCAGGCTTAGCGTTAGGTGGGAGAGAGCTCCCAAGATCGGAGTGGATTGTGGTGGATCTGGAGTTTGGGGACGGGTGGAGTCGGCGCAAGCGCAATGGAGCAGTTGCCGACTGCGCTGTTGCAATCGATCATCGCCAAGGTTTCAGCGTCCGATTGCGCTAGGGCTGCTTGTGTGGCGCGTTTCTGGAACCAGACCGTGAGCCAGGACGCTCTCTGGGAGCCGCACTGTCGCAGAGACTTCCCCACCATCCAGAAGTTGGACCCCCTCGATCGCCCCTGCTCCACATGGAAGGTGGGTGATTCTAGAATTTTCGCCCTACCTTGGGTCTTCTTAATTTCAGGCATGGCGATCTCATTCATATTGGTTGCATTCGCAAGGTTCTCCGTAAACTGTGACTTATTCGCTTAGGTGTGTGAAAGCTCGAAGCTTAGGGCTGTTGATTCATGGTGACTATTTTGTGTTTTTTGTGACCCTAGTCTAATTCATTGGTTCCGGTTGTAGCGTATCGTACACACGAACTTATAAAGCGGTGATTGAATGTAATGTCGTGCTGTTGTTCTCTTCTGGGTCGAAGAGCAGTTTATGAACTATGGTAATTTTTAGGGTCTAACGCTGCGTAGAAATCAAATCCGCACTGATGGAGATACGTGCCATCCTTACCGTTGTCGTGTTTCTCTAGAATCGCAATGAAGTTTCTGCTGCCTACTTGGGACCTATTACTTTGTGGTTGAATGATCCATAATTGTAGCATGGGTGGTAGCGGGACACTAGCTTTTCAATTAGGCGTTTGCAAGCAGTTTTCTGTCGTGAGAAGTGGATATGGGTTTAGCCTTCACATATTTACCTCTTAGTTGTTGAAGGTTAGGGCTATTGTATTTTCAAATCTCGTCACAGTGATCATTATTGTGGTGCTTTGAGTAAGTGTTAAGCTTTCAAGGGACTGATCATCTTCATTTCACAATGCTTGCTGCACCTCAATGTATGTCAGGAAACGTACCAATCATGGAAAACATCGCGCTTGTTTCAACGCAGCAAGCTCTGCTGGGATTCAATACGGTCTTGGGCGAGAGACAATTTTAAAGAAGTTTCTAATTCACTAGCCCCCGGTATTTATATGCTTCTTTGTTGTGGTTTTCACTTCTATCCGGCGTGCTCAGTATGTGGTTACGGACATTCATGCTCATTAGAGTTGTTTTACTTACTCAATTTTTCTGGTGCCCGGTCTATCAAGGAACTCATTATATACTCATCATCAATGTTAAAAGTTTTTTTTAATGATTGTGCCAATTTTTTTCCCGAATTGGTTTTCAACGTTTGTGGATTCAATCGTTTTTCTTAAATGTGTAGCTCATATTTGTCTGGTGGTTGCAGGTGCCACATTGGAGGAACTTGCTGAAACAGAAGCAACTTTAAAATGCCGCTTCCCTCCTGCCGCTCGCTTGTTGTATCGCCTTTGTAATGGCCAAAGAATACCTGAGAATGTGTTAGACGATGATCAAGTTGAAGATCATTACGTTGGTCTTATTGGAGGCTACAACTTCTCACACCACTTCGTTAATGTTCATCTCTTATCTTTACGACAGGTGATTCTTTGACATCTTTTTGATATTCACTTGGGATTGGATTTATTTATCATGTGTTGTGTTAGAGTAGTTCTTATTTTCTGATACTGGAATGACTTACACGTTTTCGGCATGCTTGTAGATGCTGAACTTGACTAGTCGCATTTTGCCTTCGCCGTGTCGGAATCGCCGCGTTATTATAGCTGCGTCAAGTAACTTGAACAAGTTCATCTTCTTAGACTGCGAGGACGGTAATGTATACGTCGGCACTAGAAATTTGCTTTTAGATGGAGAGATGATGGCGTGTGTGCCGGAGCAAGATGGCGCGTCAGACGAGGAGTCACAGGATGGGATGCTTCGATGGCTGGAGCATTACGCTCATTGTTTGCAGGTGGGTATGTTCTCTGTTCGTACAGAGGAAGGCAGTCGGAGTATTAGTCTCTATCCTGAGACGGAGCCTTATTGCAACACTGCTGTTACTCGTGGCGTTCAGGTCAGTTGAGATTTCATCACCTGAATTTTATGGCCGACTAAAACAGTTAATAATGATGCCCCACCTGTGCATGTTATTGCAATAGTGGAACAATTTATCGTCATTTTTCTTGGCACTCATAATTTTTGAGTTGCATGCCTCATTTCTCTGTAGCTCGTTTTTCTCTCTCCTTGTTCAAGATTCCTCCATAGCAATATTCATGTAAAACTCTCCTTTTTTGAGCCTATGCATCATTTGTAGCTCTCAAGAATCGCCTTGCGTGCATTTAGCACTTGATTATCTTTCTGTTAGGGCGGTGATGTAATCTTAACTAGCAACTGGTGTAGGCTATTAAGGTTTATTTCTGTTGGTGTTGAGCAGGTTCGCTGCTCAGGAGTTTTTGTGCCTGAGCTGTCCCGTGTGGAGGAACTGGAGGATAGTTACTGGTTTTCCTACTCAGTGCGCATGTGTTTGTTGAATCCTTCATCTAACGATTCTAATGCACTTACCAGCTGCCAACTTTCAGAGAGACACTGGGTCATTCGTGCCAATGACAGCGTTGTAGCACAAGTGCACGGAAGGGCGGTCATTGGATTGGTAATTAACTTTTGCACAGTTTTCGTTCCCAAGTTGCCATGTTCTTAGAATCTATTGAATTTTGCGCTCATATTACTTTTACCCTGGATGTTGACGATTTGATTGTTGTGCATGTCTCAGTATCCCTTGCTGAGGATAGGAGAGGAGGAGTTTGTATATGAAAGCTGCACTGGACTTAGCGCTAAGAAAGGCTCGCTTGATGGAGATTTCACATTTGTTCCTGGAAGGTGCGTAGTTTATCTCTGGTTTTTGTGTATTCTTGTTTACGCCAGGTTTTTGGTTGACAAATGCATGCACAGTGCTTTTCTTTCTCTTTTGTTAGTTACGGTATTCCAGACTTAATGTTGGCTCGGTCGTCTCCAGGATCTCAGTACCGACAGGAGATCCTTTTAAAGCAGTTGTTGCTAAGTTTCCTCTGGAGGTGCCCCAATACATATATTAATAATCAGGAGGCGAGCTCCAAGATGTGGATGTTGTAAATTTATGAGTATGCAAGAAGGCTCTCGTTGTTTTTTTGTCTTGACACCGTGCTGCATTTTTGGACCCTCCTTCAAAGGTCTTATGATTTGCTCTTTGGCGGAGGAAATCACATTTTAGTTCAGAGCATGTATGCGCCTAGAGGAAGAAGATTGTGAAGAAAATCTCTACTATAATTGGTACACGTTCATATAGTTTTAGCGTGAGATCAACTAGACTACTTGAGTCTTGAAGCTAAAAATCGTTGCTTAGAACCGTTACTAAGTTTGTACAGACACGCAAGGGATGACAGTTCAAAGACAAAAATAAATTTGTAGGTACCATAGGTTGTATGAAGTACAATCATGGAGAAAGAGTTGGAGCAACTTGGGAAGGACCAGGTAGAAATTGGCAAAGTTGGAGGTGGAGGTGGAGGAGAAATTACTCTTGCAGGTGCTTGACAAACATGGCTCAGGCCCTTGTATGGAAATTTTACGTCAATGTGAAGCCATAGGTCAGAGCTCCTTTCTCACAGCACTTTTTAGGATTCAAGGCAAATGTCAAATGCATTCTAGGATTTGTGGAAAACGTTGAAAATGCATAATTATCCAACGCTAATTCAATGGATATGAATGAAGAATAGCTGATGTGGAGAAAAGTCAAACAAATGGTTGGTGCCTTCTGAAGACACCTAGATTCTCCTTTTTGCTGATATTGACACAGTTGTGATGTCAATTTTTGTGTATGTTTAGGGGATAGGAATGAAATAGTGTGAATTGATACCAATCATGGAATTTTATGTGTATATATATACATAATCTGTCAATTATATTACCATCCTTTTGTTTTATTTTAATGTATACATATTTTTTACTTGTGGAAACCTTATTGAGCCTCACTGAAATGTATTACTTCTCTAGAATCTACAGATTTATGAGTAAATGTTTTTATTGCTTCAATTTTACACACGTTTTCAAATATTGATGTGTTTATATTGCAACAGTATTTGTTCTAGAATGATCATAATTTGCAAATCGCACCGTAATTTATTTTTCTTAATTTGTATTCATTTGATAGTTTTTTGCTACAAGAACAACTTAACATCATAAATAGGATTATTCTCAAATTTAAATTGTTGAGCTAGTGAACCAAGAATCCACTATTCAACTATTTGTTATAAAATTTTGAATGCATATTCAAATAAATGGGCTTTTCATAACAAACTCAATTATCAATGAGATTATGAGTGACCCACATCATGTGCCATTTCTACAGCCACTAATTCACCTGAAATGCTTCACATGAGATGACAAATCTTCAGGTTTTCTCTTCATTGCATTACCCAACTGCTAGAATTGTGAGACCAAGCCAAACAAAGCAGAATTGTTTCCACACCTGTATTAATGGAGATGTCATGGCGATGGAGATGGAGATGGTCGAAAGTTCAAACCTCTATTTGGAAGTACAAGAAGAGGAGAGAAACCCTAAAAACTGCTCCTGACTTGGGTAGCTTTCTGCACCTGTGGGTTTGAGGATGTTGAGATGTAGGGTTTTATTGTGAAAGTGTCGACAAGGTTTGCAGTTTAATAATTAGACTTTGGGGTTACAAATGGATTGTTTGTGTTGTTGAAGATTGACTTGGCAAGATTTTTTGGGACAAGGACTGAATGATAACTCACTAAAAACTTTGGGTCTCAAATCTTTGTTAAAACGTGTTTGTGCCCTGAACCATTTTTACTTTGAAATGGGCACCTTGCAACGGCAGTGATGGCAGCATGTGTAAGGATTTGTTTGCGCAGGTGTAGTGTGAAGAGATGCATATTGTGGAAATGATTCTAGTTTACGAAAAAATTCCAAGCTTATAAAATTGAACATTATCATCCAACAATGAAGTGAAGATATTAAAAGCACTATGTCTTAACCACACACGAAGGCAATTACCTTTGACAAACAAATTTCTACATTAATAACTTCTTAGTTTTAAGTGCAGTTGTATGAATATTTGTATTTTTTTTGTGAAATAAAATTTTATAAAATTGGGGTTAATAATATATATTTTTTTCATTAAAATAATTAATTTAATTAGCAATATTATTATTACTTTCTTTTTTCGAGAGAAATCTAAAATAATTAAATTCTTATTTTAGCTAAACTAATTAGAACAATAAATGTAAGAAATCCTTTAGAAAAAAATAAAAGAAAAAAAAAAAAAAACAAAACAAAACAAAGCTTATTTATACTTGGATGACATTAAAAATAAAATTGATAGTTATTTTATAGTAACTTAGCATGTAGGATCAAAAATTCAAAAAATAACTTAGATAAAAGTCTAGAGAGTGCTAATTCAAATAAACCAAGGCTTTGATGTTATAAGATGTAATACAATAATAGAAGATTGAAGTATAAGTTACTAGTATAGTTAATAAGTACATCTATATTCTTATTAATTCTAAAAAATTATCTATATATTAAAGATTGTGCGTAAAGCCTAGTTTAAAATCAAAGATTAGAAATCTTTAAAATTTTCTAGATTTAAATTTATAAAAGCTTCAAGTAGACAAGTTCCAAATTTTAGATACCAAAATTGAAAAGAAAAATAGAAATAAAAATCTAATTTTCTTATACAAGAATCAAAGTAGGAACTTAACTTAGTGATCTTTGTATCTATATAATCAGTGATTTAAAAGGTTTTTATTTTGATCAAGAATAAACTAAGATCACAACCTAAAAAAATAATATAAATAATTTAATTGATGATCAATATTAGTATATATATATATATATATATATATATGTGTGTGTGTGTGTGTGTGTGTGTTGATAGTAAAAAAACAAATTGTTTAAGAAGGATTTAAAAGATAGAGGTTTGGCACTCAATATAAAGATTTTATGGACAATATATAAGAGAAATAACGATTTTGTATTAAAACAAGGTATTTCTAAAAGTAAAATATTCTAATAAAATCATAGAATTATAAATCTTTTATTTAATATAAAACTTCATACATACATAATATATATATATATATATATATATATATATATATATATATATACATATATATATATACATATATATATATATATATATAATTTAATAATAATATATCTTTTAGTAACTATTATTAGAAATTTATATTAATTATAGCTTTCAAAGGTTTAAAAACATCTAATCCCATATTGATTTTTTTTAAAATTATTAAAAGAATATTAATTCAAAAGTTTTGGATTTTAAAACTTATAAATTTTTCTATTGAATAAACTCAATTACAATATTATATAACATTAGAGATTTATATAACTTAAAAATAAAATAAAAGGTAAAAATTATTTCAATAATAATAGACATAGTTGTAATTTAATATTTCTTTAAAAGTATAAATTATATATTAAAAATATAAGATTTTAAAATACCATTTCTACCAAGTGCAAGATATTTTAATTTTAGAAGATGCTCCAAAAGAAATTGAAGATCCTAATAGAACTCAAGTATTTTAAAATTCTGATTGTTTATTTGTTTGTTTGTTTTGTTTTGTTTTTCTGTTTTGTTTTCTTTCTTTTTTTTTCCATCAAGGATTTTATTATCAGAGTAGAATGTTTAATAAAAAATATAGTATTAATAAAAATATTTAAAGCCAGTTTCATTAATAAATGAAAAATGGCTGATATTTGTATATCTAAGAAGTATGAAGAGTTAAGCCAATCATGAAAAAATCTTACTAATTTTCTTCTAAGATAATTGGAGCTAATTAAAATAAGAAAAAAAACATTTAGTTGAAAAATTCTCAAGCTTTAGAAGAAAGTTAACAAGACACAGTGAATTGCATTGAAGTTTATAAAATTGAGTTGTAAACTATGAAATTGTTTTAGAAATAAAAGATATTTGAATGTTTTATAAAAAAGAAAATTAAAAATAGAATCATATTTCTTTTTCAATATAATTTTAAAAAAATTAGAGTTATATTTTTAGATGTAAAATAATATGAGATTAAATTCTAATAATTAAAAAATAAATAAAAATCATATTTAATGTAATTTTCAAAATTTAAAAACTTAGCACTTTTTTTATCTTAATTGCCTTAATTCAAAAAAAGATGCCAAGGAGACAAAAGATTGTGATTAAAAATCAGGTAAATGTTGTATGGAGATAAATTTATAAAAAAAATACTTTGATGTTATTAAAAAATATATTATAGAATAAATACTTTAAAAATTATAAATAAACATAGATAATCAAATTCTATAAAGACTTAATTAATGTCCGCAAGCAAAGACACCTCATTTTAATAAGAAATAAAGAAGAATTTGGATTCAACCCTTAAGATTATTTTTCTTAATATTACATTATTAATATACATTTTAAATACTAAAAAATAAAATAAAATAACATCAAAATATTTGGTACTATAAATCAATAAATGGATTGGATTGTATAAATTAGTAGAACATTAATTTTCTTTCATAGTGTTTCAACTTTGTAATACATATTTAATGTATATATATATATATATATATATATATATATATGGATATATTTATAGTTTAATATGCCAAAATCAACCAACTTATCTATCAAATAGGCTAGTGCATAATTTCTTCTAGAACCATGCTTTAGTTTTTCTTTTTTGTTTTTTTAATCCATATTTGGTTATCAAACAATTTAAACAAAATTTTAAATGCCTGCTCTTGCATGTCTATATCAAATTAGTCTTGCCCCCTCCCCCTCCTCTATTTTCTTGTAAAAATTGGACTAAGGAAAAGAAAAACTAAAGTGACTAAAACAGGGAGAAAGTTGAGAGAAGCAACAAAGTAATATGAAGAAGGGTCAAGGAGCAAAGCAAGGTTATCCAATCCCAAGACTTGCCCAGTAAATTTAGATATCCAATCTCAAGACTTGCCCAATAAATTTAGATTTCTTTGCTATTGCACTAGTCTTTCTAATACATAAACTTCTTGAAACTCACATGATTTGAATTGATCTAGATTTTGCTTAGCTTGTTGCTTGCCCACGGTCCATTGGTAATAAACAGGCATTGGGTTGGGCAAAACCCAAATTGTATTATGAATGGATAAAAACAAGCAATAAACGTCTTGTTTTAGAGGAGAAATGAAATAGTCTCCAAGGAAAATCCAATTGACAGCAAAATGGAAAGCAAGGATCGTTCTAAACCCAAAAAGAATTAGGACATTATTCAACCGTCAAGTTAGCAGTTCCCTGCGTTTAAATATAACATAAACGCAATCCATACACTTACGAGGTAACTCATAAACGCTAGTTGGAGGTGGATTTTGATTATACATGAGACATCTGTAGCTCACGTATTTTGCACTTGAGAAAAAGACATTTTGATCTCCTTATCGTTGGACTACACTTACAAGCCTGGCCTTAACTTTAGTGGTTTCACAGCCGATCCTATAATCCTCTCAATACTTTTATCCTTCAACATGGGCTCTGGTAAAGTTATCATACAATGAAGTAGCCCAAGTTCTCCTCACCCTCTCAACTGCACTGGCATAGGAGGTCTGTACCTCAGAAGAAGGTGCTTCAAGTAAACAAGTGATGAGCTCATACAACGTGCAGAATCAAACTCAGACCATTCGTTGAATCTGGTCACAATATCTTTCGATCCTTCAAATATGTGAACATAACAAAGAATAAAGCGATGCATCCAAAAACAATTCCAGCTGCTGTAATATAGAATGCCATCTGCAAGTAATAGCCGCTCAGTCAAGAGAATGAATGAAGACGACTAGCGGATAAAAGATCTCACACACTATATCGTGGATCAGGTAAAAAACGGACTTACCTCATAATCTTCTAAATCCGAGTTCAGATTCATTCCGAATATTCCTGTGATCGAGTACAAGTGAGTTCGTATTAACACCCCAGATTTTTCTTCGAAGTAAAAGGCTAATCAACAAGAAAGATTGGGCTTAGAAAATTGTCAGGAAAAATGAGAAAGAGCATCATTACCTGCAATGAGCGCCCCTAGGGTAGAGCAGAGCGTGGCAACCTGAAGCAACAACTCCAACCGGCTCACCTCGAGACGCCTTGAACTACATCAACACCTCATCACATTTTAAAAACCCATATCTCTATCGTCAGTTTTCTTCAAAGCTGCAATACGAAATCATTTAAACAATACAAGTTCATTGTTGGTATCGTCCATGCAGATCTTTGGGGCAACACGTAGGATGAATAGATTCATATAGACGGGTATACAACTAATTCAAAGATTCAACAAGTGAAGCCTAAACCTTAAGTTGACACTAATGGAATCTTCCATTTCCTTGGCTGCATCCAGCAGTTTTTCGGCTTCACCGTGACATGAGTCGCACCTGTTGAGAGGAGCAGACATATTTCACAGAAGTAGGACACTCTAGATAGCACCATGATTGCAACAATACATGATTCAAGTTTTTTCGACTGACGTAATTTAGCGACTACTACCGAGTGATCTGACTAAAACCTTCCACAACAAGATAACAGGCTTTCTACTACTAACATCACTAACCTTATGAGGTAGTACTCGAGAAGCATTTCAATTTCCTCTTCCTCGTCTGCAGGGAAAACGACACTTGTGAGACCAGAAGCATGGCACCTCCACATTGTTACCTATGAAACATTTTTTGTGCCCGATCAATGTCACCTTACGCAAACACCACAATTAGAATATCACCTTCTGCATTCTGCTTCTCTGAAGGTATTGTGCATTGAATGGAGCCATCAATCCTTCTTATATTGCATGTGCGTCCTATGATGGCCATTTTCCGGATGTCCTCTGGATGCTCAAGCATCTCCAAAATCATTTGACGCAATGCACCAGCCTTTGCAGCTAATTCCACCTACAGACCAACTCGTAACAGCCCAAAGCTTAAGTATCGGTATAAATGATTCAGTTCCCACTTAGAATTGGCTTTCAGAAGCTCTATGATATTTGACCACATATACACTAGGATGTGGGGTACATCCAGAAGCTTACCAGGGCTTGCTTTCCAAGTCGAAGTTCTTCCAATACATCAGCGGTATACCGAATTGGGAGTTTTTTCAATAGAGCCATTATCTGTCGATAATATGTTGTGGATAAAGAGATATAAGACATAAAAAAATTTAAGAAGTGAACAAAAGCAATTCAAATTGGTTCAGAACCACAAGACATCGCAATGAACAAAGTGAGTAATAAAAAATTCTTAGTAGCCCTACTCTCCACTTGATTTCAATGTTTCTACCAATCAAATAAATGTCTCGTGAAAAGGTTTGCTCTTGTGAATCACACACCTTTGGGTCGACCTCCATGAGCATTTGTTCGAGCCTTTGAGTCCTTGAAAGAAGAGCGGCCTCTACAACCTAGCCTTGACAAGCAGACAACCATAGAATTGAGGACTCTTCGACCTAAGTCCAAACGTAAGATCCATTGCAGTGAACAATGCCACGAAAATATGAGTACACGATTTACATGAGAAAATATATGGGGAAAAAATAAAATAAAATAAAAATAAAAAAATCCCAACTAATTTTTTGCTTCTGTGAAATGCAGGAGAGAACACAAGGATTTCGTGAATCATGTTTTTCAACACGTGGTAGAGTCTGAAGTGTTTACGTAAACCCACCCAAACTGACCAACCGCCTAACTGTAAACAAGTCATGAGAGAGAAGCATATGCTACGGTCCAGGTGATATTTGAACACTAACTGTAAAAGGAAAAAATAAATTGAGTGCGCATTACCTCTAACTCGAAAGGCATATTCGGACCTTGGCCGTTGTTAGCATTCCTAAGACGCGGAAGTAGTGCTGCCATAAAAGCTTCAGCTTCGATACTAAAAATTCCCCCACACCGAAGGGTAAGAAACACTGTCACTGAAGACGATGTCTAAACAAAAGGACCTGTCAAATAAGAATGGAATCATGAGTTCCGGGTTTCAGACGCTTCACCTCTGCAGATGCTGTTTTACCTTTTATGCTCAAATATGAGGACACTGCGAGAAGTTGCTATTGCCCTCAGTGAACTCAAATTCAGGAGAATGGCCTGGTCCCTTACCTGACACACAATGCAAGCACATTCAGGGCCCTGCCTGCATATAGTAATCACAATTGATTTGCAGGATAGCTATAGCATGTTAACATTAATTAGCTTTTTTTTTTTCAAAAAGGAAATAAAAGAAATGGGTAACAAATGCACCTCGACTCACCAGTATGGCAGGCGCTGAATTGGTGACCCATAACGAAGGATCAACACTACGAATATCTCGTAGACGTAGTCCAGCTAGTCACAAGTCAAAGCACAACACACGCTAATCTTCACTAAGGACCATTCTGTGCATTAGAGTACAAGAGGAGTAAGAGTGGTTTTATTAGTCAGAATACCTTATAGAAAAAATGATAAAAGAAGGCAACAAAAGTTACCTATACTCCTCAACAGCTTCCTTCTACTAACTTCTCTTTGCACCACATCTCCATCAGGATGTACTTCGAGCACCTAGTAAATACCACGGATTGCAGAAGTATAAGCTCATGTTGATTCCCTATTCCGATTATCAAGTTTATGGTCGAACTGAACTATACTGCATCAAGTTACGCCCAGCTAAACCACCAGTAACACTGAAGGTACACGCCGTACCTGATAAACAAGTTTCTTTACCCCAGTAACGAGAGAGTCAGCTGTAGAACCAGACATAGATCCCACACTCTCACTCACAATGCTACTCACAAGCTCCTCACCCCATGATTCATAGCTTGCACTATTTTCACTGTCCTCCGATGAACCCTGTTCGTCGTCGTTGTCATCGTCCTCGTACCTTTCCTCATCAGGCCACACACTATTCCTATCTTCACGAAAGAGGTCAGACCCATTCGAACCAATCCTTGACACCTTGTATCCTCTTAGTGCATCTGCATTCCTGAACCCAGGAGGTTCAACATAATTCCTCATCTCCTGCCACTGATCTCTACAAGTCTCCTCTCCGTCGGTATACCTCCCTATGTCTTGGAAGATATGTTTTCCTCCTCTCGGTTCAACACATTCTGTATCATCCTCGCTGTCGAAATGGGGGCGTTCAGGTGAAGAAGATGAATTTTGAGAGTCGTAACTATTACTACTATCATTCTTCTGTGCGTGAGTCAAGGTAAATGGGATTCTTTGCGACCAGCCTGGGTTCAAATATCCTGGATAGATGAACCTATTGTGTACAACACTGGATCCACGGTTGTTTCCAAATTGCTGTTGTGATTTTGATGATTCCTTCCCAATTCTCCTTATGGACGTCAAAATTCCAGAGTTCCAAACGAATCTAAAACTACAATTCCTATAATCTGCAGTTAGCATCATAGTTTTCCTGTGTAAATAGGAGGCCAAACTGTGAGTCTCCCCAAGGCCAATATTTAGATGCTTAATTCGACACTCAAGACGGTGCCATATCCCATGACAAACTGTTGCATGAAGCCCAACGCTTCGCACTTGCAGGACTCCAGCAGCGCAATTCCATGAGAACTCCATGAGTATTCAAACTTCCATGAAAGTACCAGCAACTAATAACCAGACTTGGTTTTCTGACATCCTTCCATTTGTCCAAAACACCGAATCAACTGGCACAAATTACAGCTTCTCGTAACGACTTCAAAGAGTACACAAAATCCCATTCCAAAGCAATCCAAACCTTTCAAACGAACAGAGGCAATGATACCAACAACTCACGACATATAGAATTGAATGCTGGGCTTACCCCCTCACTCGTCGAAATCGAAAACAAATGACTAACTCTTGTTAATCCATAAACAATATAACGACCCACAAAGGAAAACAACCCAAAGATCGACCTCAAAGCACCTTGAACTGAGGTGGTGGCGGTGCTGCTGCTGCTGCTGGTGATGAATTCGTGCTCTCTCTTTACTTTCCTTTGCTTTGCTTTTGTGTTGCATTGCATTGCATTGCAGCATCGTGTGGGCTGCAGAGATCAAGCCTCCATAGCCACGCATTTCGAAGAAGACGAGGATGCCTCGGCAGCCATTCCTAGTCTTGCCTTTCCCCGTCGATCTCAAACTGGTCCCCTTCACGCTTGCAGTGTGAACGAGGCTGAGTGAAACCAGTTCCGTTTTAGCCTGTGTGTGTGAACGCGGAAACATTTGAAACCCGTCTTGGCGCCGCGTTTCTGTTTAGATCGATGGAAAACGAAGTTGATTACGATTCAATGAAACGAATCTAAATTTTTTGTTGATTATGACAACCTTTAAATATAAAAATAAATAATAAATAATAATTTTAATAGAAAGATAAATAAAGAATCATTCCATTTGATGAGAAAAATATTTTTCCACATAATTTCATATTTTTGATAATTTATCAAATTATACATATTATTATTCTATTTTCAATTTTCTTCATACAAATAATATGTCATTTTGCACACATTTACATACAAATTATACTTCTTTTGAGCTGAGCAGTTTTTAGTTTTATTGAAAAAATATATATACTTTTGTTTCAATAGAAGGCTACAATAGATGTGAGTAGAATAGAAGAATATGTAAGAGAATTCTAAAATCAAGGCAAAAAGGGATATTTGTGATTTATTCAATTAAAATATTTACCATAAAAAGAAAGAGAGAAGGAGAGAATCAAATATTTTCTCATGTAAATTTAGTAATAAGAAGTGGGACCTAGAAAATTAATACAATAGTAATTGATTTTTCATATTTAATATATTTCCACAAATTGCTCAAGAGTAAACTTGTGACATAAAAGATAAAATACAGTCATTGAATAAGATTTTTTTAACACCAACAGTAAGATAATTAGAATAGAAATTTATACATATTGTATTAATACTAAAAATAATGATATTAATATTTTGAAGTTTAATCTATTAGAAGACTAGTCTTTGGATAATAAATGCCTTTTGTTTGTTCTTGATGAAAAAAAATTATGTGAATTTTTAGGTAGATATTTTAATAGAAATTAACTTATATAATAGAAAGAAAAAGACACTAAAGATGAAGTTGACAAAACAAAATCTAAAAAAGGAGACTCTCAAATTTATAAGAATAGGATTTCACTTGGCACATTTTTATTACCTAAGAAGAAAGCCTAATACATTTAAAGTCTAAATAGAAATTTCTTTTGGAGGCTTTATCCCCAAAAATCCTTGCAAGGAGCTTAGCTTCTTTATCTTTGCATGTCAATCGATTAGCAAAATTGCCATAAAGGAGGCTACTGTCTCCCTTAATCTCTATGCATTTGTTGCCATTATGAATTAGGCTCAATACAATAACAATCTCCTACTTGGAGACTAATCTACAAAAAAAAAACTCAAAAAACAAAAAACAAAACAAAACAAAAAACACACACACAACTTTCTTGTAATCTTATCTTCTTTTTATATTTTAAAGAATAGTTTGAGTGATGTGTTTCTTTATCAATAATTGTGGAGGCCAATTGAGCCTTTGTACAACCTTTGATTTTCAATAGTAACAACATTTGTGATATGTCTATTGAGTTCTTTGATCTTGAGATTTTCAAAGGCAATGTTCCATCATCTATAAGCTCACATATAAAATAATATCTTAATTGAATATGCTTTATCTTTAAATGAAATATTGAATTCTTTGTTAGATGTACTACACTTTAATTGTTGTTGAAAAGAACATTGTCAACTTACTCTTAATCCAATTCTTTCAAAAAAATCTTTAATCATATCACTTTTTTTTCTAGCTTCAACGATAGCTATTTATTTTACTTTAGTAGTTGATAAGGCAATGTTCTTCTAAAGTTTAAACATCCAACTCACAACAAAACCTTCCAAAGTGAATACAAAATATGTTGTGCTTCTAAAATTATCTAAGTAACTATCCAAATTTGCATCAATAAATCCTTGCAAATTCACATTATTCTTCTTAAAACAAATTACCAAATTTGAATTCCTTTTTTAGTACTGTAATACTTATTTTACAACTTCCTAATGCATTCTTCCAAGATTTGTCGTATATCAGATATGAAACCATTAAATCTTTTGTATCACTATCTTAGAGCCTATTTCAAGCCATACAAGTTGTTTTTCAATATGATCACCAAATTATCTTTATCAAAACTTGGAAGTCTTTTGATTGCAACATGTAGATGTCCTCATCAATATTGTTGTACAAAAAAACAACCTTAATATCTATTTGCTTTAGATACAAGGTCTTGATGTTAAGAATATGTAGCATTAGTCTTATATTGATTAGTTTGACAACATGAGAAGATCTTAATGTAGTCAACTCCACTCTTTTATTAGAATTCTTTATTAATTAATCTTTATTTGTACCTTGAGTTGCCATTATTTTCTTCTTTGATATGATATACTCATTTGTTTTGCAATGCCTTCTTTTCATCTAGCAAGTGATTCATTAATATATGCTTATAAAATGATCAAATTTTTTTGCAATAATTTGTAGATTGGTCCAAGTAGAGATTGTATGTTTAAAAATAATAAAGAAAAGAAAATAGCTTATTTGAAAAAAAATTGAGTAAAATTTAAGACTAAATTGGTACTAAAAAGCTTTTTTTAGAAAGAAGAAATGAAAAAGACAATCTTATATGTAGGTTGAAAATATCATTGTACAGATTGAAACAATGGTATAAGGAATTTAATGCTTTTCTAAAGAAGCAAGAATATACTTGTAGAAATTTTTATTGTTATTTATATTTCAAAAAATTACAAAAAAACTAACTTGTATAAATATATCATACTTATATTATATTTTAATAGAATTTTAATTTTTAAATATTATTTAATAAAAAGACATGTAAAAAAAATATTAAAAATTCTATTAATGTTATTTTTTTAATACTTAAATCAAAAAGTGTCTATTATATATTATTTTTTTACAATGGTTTGTAGATTTTGAAGTTACAAATCAACTTTATAATCAATCACATCATATCCAAGAAATAAAATAAAATGTGTAACTATTTTAAAACATAAATATACATTAAACATCTAAAAATTCTAAGCTTAGAATAATTTATAATTCTATCATTCTACATCTTTATATGTATCTTGTATTTTTAAATATATATTTTTAAAAAATGATATAAATAGCTTTAGCCAAAATTTTCTTTTCTAAATCTAACATTACTTAAAAGACTCATTATTTTCTTCAACAGTGTAAAATTAAATTTTTTTTGCTATCAATGTTTTATTGAAAATTTTCTAGAGTAATAAAATAATAAAAATAAATAAAAATTTATTTTTAAGGATCATTTAATGGCCATCAGCCTTGGTTTCAAATTTTGATCCTTGAATCATTGAAAGCCATAGATCTTAGTTTTGACTCTTAAGGATTCAAAAGTAGAGATGTATCCACCACGCGTAGATCTAAGGACAACAATAGAAAAGATCTGATGGACTCATTTGGTAGAAACTTTTTATTTTATTTATTTTGTTGATAGACAAAGTCATACAAGTTTTTCAAATGGTTTTATAAGAGGCCTTGGATTTTTTCAATTTTCTCTTTCAATTTTTAACCTTTTAGTATTGATGTCTTTTTACAAAATATATATATATATATATATATATATATATATATATATATTACTTTGTATGGCCATATATAAGGTAAAAAAGTAGATGAAAAAATGAATGATATATACATCTTTAAGAAGAGTAATTTGTAGCAAAAAACACATTAAAAATTGAGAATTAATAATTAGAGAGAACCAACTATAAATCATGGTCAAAATTAGATCCTAAGATACAAAACCATGTACTTATGGCAATTCTAGGATTCTTTTCTAGATCAAAAAAATAATGTTAGTTTTGTTCTCATTGCATTCAAGCTTCAGTAGACCAAAGCAATTGAATTAATAGAGGTGGGTTCGAACATGGTGAAAGATTGGTTATATGAATTGGGTCTATTAGTATCACAATTGACTATATTCTGGCTATTTGAAATCAAATATCAAACTACAAAACACCGAGGCTTACTACTTTCGTCTTAATTCAATCCATAATCCATTCTATGATTATCAATTCAACAATACTTCTCTCAATTATCATTCTTCATAAGCAAATAATAAAGAAAACAAAGAGGTAGTATCAAGCTTACTCCGGCTTACGAATCTCAATCTGGCTCTCAGCTTACGACTCTCAGTCTAACTCTTGGCTTATGACTCTCAGTTTGGCTCTTGGCTTATGACTCTCAGTCTAGCTCTCGGCTTATGACTCTCAGTCTTGCTCTCGGCTTATGACTCTCAGTCTAGCTCTTGGCTTACGACTCTCAGTCTGGCTCTCGATCTCTCTTTCCTCAATTTATTTATCCTACTTAAAGGATGATCCGTCGGCCGACAGATTCCAAAGGTTATGATCCTTTGAATTCTTAACCATTTATTCTACTAACAACCTACTATTACCAGCTAAATTGCCTAATGTCAAGGACAAGAAATCGATGAAAAAATAATTCAGACAAGTGAGCCTTCACTCAAAGAAAGGTAACAAAATATAAATAAACAAGTATGTATATTGAAAGAGAAACTGGAATGACTATTGCCAAAAGACAAGAAAACTAGAGACCCTTGAAACTAGACTGGAAGCAAGAAAGGAGTTGACATGAGTGAAGAAGCCTTCACTCTTGTCTCTATATATACTATCTAACTAGGGGCTATGTGGCGACGTTCTATACGACCTCCAATATGTGTTGACTTTGTAGAACACATGCCTTGACTTACAAGGCAAGTTTTTCTACGTGTGGGCCACATAGTTAGCTTGATCTTCAAGCTAACAACATGTGTGGCACATGGCCAACTTGTTGACCACGTTTCTAATCCAAAAAGTCAATTAAAGACACCTATGAAGTCAAAGTAATGTCTATGAAGCTTCTAGGAAGCTTCCATATTGAAAACTATAGAATTAACTTACTTTTACCTACTTTTATTTACTTCTACCAATTTATATATGTAATTACTAGCTTATATGATTATGTCCGTGACATTACCTTCCCTTCTAG